ATTTTCGGGGAAAGAAACCCATGTATACAGGCATAAAAGTTGGATCGATAATCACTAACCTCCAACATCATCCAGCATAGNCCACAACGGCTAATATTTTAAAATTTCTATTTCAAATTTATCACTGTGTTACGGATTTAGTTTTGTGATAGTTTTGCAGTTAAAAACGAAGTAAATGACTTTAGAGTATCGCGAGATTCGTAGGTAAAATATGAATTCATTTTTTAATCGACGTGGTTTCTTAAATTCCCTAATGTCATTGGGGACGGTGCACAACAAACTTCACCTCTTAACTCAGCTGTGAAACTTGCAGGTTTCCTCCTAATCCGTGCCTTATTTACCTGACAGAGCTTACATATATGGAAGCAGAAAACAGATTTCTAATCGTGTTTCACTTGACCAGAACTATCTTGAGATGTTGCAGAACGAGCCTGCTGGTATTCACCGCTTCCAGTATAGACACAACAGTATGAGGCCGACTTAAAAGCATTTCCAAGGGAAATGGTGGAACAATCTCGAGTTATTTTCGGGGAAAGAAATCGATGTATACAGGCATAAAAGTTGGATCGATAATCACTAACCTCCAACATCATCCAGCATAGATGTCAGTCATTCTAGCGCCTCCATGTTGGTGTGGTTTCGAACGAAGCAAAATAAGGAAGATGGCATTGCTATAGCCTTAATTTATCAAGCATACGTTGTCAGCATACCTAGCATATACCTAGCTACAGTTAAACACTACCGTTCATTGCACTCTGTTTCACTGATGACGTAGGTAATCGATGCAGGCGAAGTAGGAGCGTGTGCAAATCATGTTTGGATTTATGACAGCGGTGTTAATGAAAAATGCTTTTTTTGCACCAGGTAAACAACAAACTTTGATTTTATGACTGCTAAAGGGCCGAAAACAATTCCAAGCGATAAAAAAAAAAATCAAACATTGAAATATAGAAGAAAAAGTACTAAAAGGAGATAAGAGCGGAGTGGGGGTGGGGGTTGAGAAGAAGACTGGCATTCCTTCAAATGTTCAGATCGTGGCTATTTTTCACCAGGATGAAATTCTGATTAACACCTTTTTCATAAATCCAGATAATTATAATAATGGCCGCCTTATACCAGTAAAATCCTTAGAACTACAAAGATTTCCGTCCTTCGTGATTCTTACGCGGAGGGAGGCATCTCCCGCCTTTTCGGATGACGTAATGTTCTCTGCACAAAAGATTGTGACGTCATTACAAAGAAGGAAAAATATACTTCGGTCACTTTGAAATGTTTTGGTTTGCTTTATATGCTCAGCTCTTCGTGTTTTGACATCTACTAAGTATAAGGAAAAGTTATTTAGTCAGGCGTGTTACGTATATACATGAAAAATTTTCTGAATTTTTAGGTTTTAATTTGCTGTCTTCTCCCCAGCCTTTCTTTCAATCGTCACACGACGCTATGCGGTGTATTTTCAATCCTTGCTACCTCATTCTCACAAATTTTCACGCGTTCTTAATCTCGCAAAAATATGGGAGCTGTATTTTGAGAGCATAAATTTACGCGATTCCGCGAACTGGTGTGCTCAAGGATATTTAACCGTGTGGTTTTGGCATTGCTTTGATCTTTCAAATCCTGATCGATCCTAGGAACTAGTTTCACCACAAGGAGCCTACAAATGGAACATTTGATAACTAAAGTGGTTTTGGTAGATTTACAATTAAGCTTAAGATAACAGTGAATCGAAGGAAGAGTGCGGAGTTGAGGGAGATGGGTGGTAGTCCTTCGACTCCTACCCACCGACCTCCCTCCTCGGAGTGGAGGGAGATGGGTGGTAGTCCTTCGACTCCCAGCCACCAACCTCCATCCTCGGAGTGGAGGGAGATGGGTGGTAGTCCTTCGACTCCCACCCACCAACCTCCCTCCTCGGAGTGGTTAAGTAATTAACTAAAATACAACGACACAAGAAAAGATAATGACACAAGCGGTGGACACCTGTAAAATCTTTCTGGCAAGGCAGCTTTTTTTCGTTTCTTTACTGACTGTTAAATTTCAGTGTTTGAAGCATTTCTCTCATCTTTTCCATTTGCTTCTCACACCTTCTTTACACCTTCTTTCTCTAACTTTAGGAAGCTTAACTGAGTGACAAAGGCTTATGAACGTCTGAACGATGTTTCAGCAATTTTATTTAAGTTAAACGGAAGACAAGCTTAGTCCTTAACACTTTATTTGTGGTAGCATTTTACTTGCTGGTTTCGTCCTCAGATCTTTGTGTTTCTGTTGATAAGATTAAACAATAAATCTATTTAGAAATTTTGTTGAGAAAGTTGTCGTTTTTGCGAGCAAAGTTGCTTTTTTATATAGTTTTTTATAATTATTTGTCAGTTAGCGTACTTTGCTTTATTTACTTGCTATTTCTTTGATATTACCTAGAAAAAATTGAATACATTTGACGTTATGACTGTTGGAAGTTTTCTTCTGTTGCAGCACCCTTTCCCGGAATGAAAAAGTTAAACAAAAAATTAGCTACTAAAGAATTAAACTGTACTACCCACCTTAAATTTATCCCAACATGGTCATCTACACAAGATTGTGGCAGCTTGAAATATATCAGTCACGTTCATGGTTAACCAAGCAATAGGAAGATAAAGGATAGTCATCTAGATAGGAACTGTAAGAAGTTGGTTGTAGAGCATTGGCACAGACGCGCCAAGTTTCTTGGGGGACGTTTTGCCAGGTATGACGACTCNGGGAGATGGGTGGTAGTCCTTCGACTCCCACCCACCAACCTCCCTCCTCGGAGTGATTAAGTAATTAACTAAAGTACAACGACACAAGAAAAGATAATGACACAAGCGGTGGACACCTGTAAAATCTTTCTGGCAAGGGAGCTTTTTTTCGTTTCTTTACTGACTGTTAAATTTCAGTGTTTGAAGCATTTCTCTCATCTTTTTCATTTGCTTCTCACACCTTCTTTACACCTTCTTTCTCTAACTTTAGGTAGCTTAACTGAGTGACAAAGGCTTATGAACGTCTGAACGATGTTTCAGCAATTTTATTTAAGTTAAACGGAAGACAAGCTTAGTCCTTAACACTTTATTTGTGATAGCATTTTACTTGCTGGTTTCGTCCTCTGATCTTTGTGTTTCTGTTGATAAGATTAAACAATAAATCTATTTAGCAATTTTTTTGAGAAAGTTGTCGTTTTTGGGAGCAAAGTTGCTTTTTTATATAGTTTTTTATAATTATTTGTCAGTTAGCTTACTTTGCTTTATTTACTTGCTATTTCTTTGATATTACCTAGAAAAAATTGAATATATTTGACGTTATGACTGTTGGAAGTTTTCTTCTGTTGTAGCACCCTTTCCCGGAATGAAAAAGTTAAACAAAAAATTAGCTACTAAAGAATTAAACTGCACTACCCACCTTAAATTTATCCCAACATGGTCATCTACACAAGATTGTGGCAGTTTGAAATTTATCAGTCACGTTCATGGTTAACCAAACAATAGGAAGATAAAGGATAGTCATCTAGATAGGAACTGTAAGAAGTTGGTTGTAGAGCATTGGCACAGA